TCTCTGAGCACTGCTTTTGCTGTGTCCCAAAGGTTCTGGTAGGATGTGTTTTCATTCTCATAAGATTCGATGAATTTCTTTATTCCATCCTTAATTTCCTCTATACCCAGTAGTTTTTGAGCAAGGTGTTGTTCAGTTTCCATGTGTTTGATTTTTTTTCCTTGCTGTTTGTGTTGTTGATTTCTACTCTTATGGCTTTATGGTCAGAAAAGATGCTTTGTAATATTTAGATGCTTTGGATTTTGTTAAGGCTTGCTTTATGGCTTCATATGTGGTCTATTCTGGAGAATTTTCCATGTGGGTTAGAAAACAAAGCATACTTGGCTGCTGTTGGGTGCAGTGTTTGGTATATTTCTCTGAGATCAAGTTGGTTGATGGTAGCATTTAGCTCTTCTCTGTCTTCATTGAGCTTCTTTCTGGATGTTCTGTCCTTCACTGAAAGTGGTGTATTGAAGTCTCCTACTACTATTGTGGAGCCGTCTGTCTCTCTTTTCAGTGCTGTTAGGGTTTGTTTTATGTATTTTGGAGCCCTGTCATTGGGTGCATAAATATTTATTATACATATGTCCTCCTTGTGTATTGACCCTTTAATCATTATATAGTGTCCTTCCTTATCCTTTGTGTTGGATTTTACTTTAAAGTTTATTTTGTTAGAGATTAATATTGCCACTCTTGCTCTTTTTTGAGTGTTGTTTTCTTGATGTATTTTTTCCATGCTTTGAGTTTTAGTTTGTTTGTGTCTTTAAGTCTAAGGTATGTCTCTTTCAGGCAGCATATAAATGGATCATGGTTTTTTTTATCCAATCTGCAACTCTCTGTCTCTTTATTGGTGCACTTAGTCCGTTTACATTCAGCGTAATTATTGATAGGTATGAGTTTTGTGCTGTCATTTTGATGTCTTTTATGTGTGTTGTTCACAGTTTCTTTGTTCCACTTAATTTTCTATGTCTGTAGTTTTTAGTCTCTCTTTTTTTGTTTTAATGTTGCCATCTTTTACATATTGACATCTCTTTCCCTATTTGCAGTGTTTTAGCTTTGATTTATTTTTGTGATTTCTCTATCTGGTTTGATGTCTCGTTGCTCTCTCCTGTGTTCTAGTCTTGGGTTGTTATGTGATGTTATTGATTTTCTAACTGGAGGACTCCCTTTAGAATTTTTTGCAATTTTGGTTTGTTTTTGCAAATTCCCTAAGCTTCTGTTTATCTGGAAATGCCCTAATTTCACCATCATATTTGAGAGAGAATTTGCTGGATATGTAATTCTTGGTTGGCAATTTTTTTCTTTCAAGGCTTTATATATGTCATTCCATTGCCTTCTTGCCTGCATGGTTTCTGCTGAGTCGTCCCAGCTTATTTTTATTGACTCTCCTTTGTAGGCGACTTTTTATTTATCCCTAGTTTTTCTTAAAATTCTCTCTTTATTTTTGGTTTTGGCAAATTTGACTATAAAATATCTTTGTTACTTTCTTCTGGGATCTACCTTATGTGGGGTTTGATGAGCATCTTGGATAGATATCTTCTCATCTTTCACGATATCAGGCAAGTTTTCTGCCAAGACATCTTCAACAATTCTCTCTGTATTTTCTGTTATCTCTCTCGTTCTGGTACTCCAATCACTCGTAGGTTATTCCTCTTGATAGAATCCCACATTATTCTTCAGATTTCTTCAGTTATTTAAATCCTTTTATCTCATATTTCCTCAAATAAGTTGATGTCAAGTGCTTTATCTTCAGTCTCTCCAATTCTGACTTCCTTTGCCTCAACTCTGCTCTATGACTTTCTATTGAGTTGTCTAACTATGAATTTTTATTGTTAATCTTCCGGATTTCTGATTGCTGGCTCTCTTTAGATTCTTGCAGCATGTTAAATTAGTCATTATGCTCTTCTATAACCTTCTATTTTCCTGTATTGTGTGTTCTGCGTTTTGATTAATTTCCTTCCTGATCTCTTGAAGAGTTCTGTATAATAATCTTTTGTATTCTGCCTCTGGTAATTCCAAGAAATTTTCTTCCTCTGGAAAATTTCTAGATTCTTTACTTTGGGAGCTTACTGAAGCCATCAAGTTCTGCCTCTTTATGGGATTTGATATTGACTGTTGTCTCCGAGCTATCAATAAATTATTATATTTATTTATTTTGTTTGCTTACCGTGTCCTAGCTTTTTGTTTTGTTTTGTTTTGATATGCCCAAATAGCTTGCTTGTGTGAGCTAACCCGATCTCCAGCATTCCTGAAACTCCAATGCCCTGCCACCAGGTGGCCAGACTTGCCACTAAGTACGTGAGCCCAGAAGTCCACCTACTCCTCTTGTATGGATTCAGCTCAGGTGTCCAGATAGTCAGCCACCAAGTGTGTGGTGCAGACTCTCACCAGTTCTAGACAGGCATGGGTGATCGGTGTTGGCACAGGCATCTGGCTGCATCAGGGGGACACAGGCTGAGCAAGGCAAGGGGCTGACGGCCACCCCCAAGTGTCCAGGAAGAAAGCGTGTCCCTGTTCCCTGGTGCACGTAGATGGGCGGGTTTTGCAGCCAGATTATGAACATTTAATGCTGTTGGTTGTAAGGACAGGGGTCACCTCGTTTTCTTGGGCCCCTATCACAGGTGTCAAGTGGCATGGTGGGAACCACCAGTCCTCAGGCCCTTGATGTGGGTAGGTGAAGACGCTGCTTAATGGGCAAAACAGTGTCAAATGTCACATACCTGCCACTTCAAAGCTGAAACAGTTGAAGTTAGACTTCAGGTGTATACCCTGTATTACTCTGTTAATGAAGACCTACACTGTTGAAATGGTTCTGCACAAGTCTATGCAAGGGGAAAAAGGCACTCAAAGTCCGTGGATCCCTTACGCCTTTACCTAGGCAAAGGAGCTGTGCCTACCCTGAATTCCTGGCTTAGGGGAGCTGGCATATTATTTTTTCCCCTGTTTGTTAATTTGTTCACTCTCCAAGGCCGGGAGAATGGCACAGGGCATGTGACGGTTCCTACTTCTGGCCCTGGGACTCGACAATTGCTGAAGCCATCCCAGACCCAGTGCAGAGCAGGGAGCATGAGGTAAATGTGAGAGAGGCTTTTCCCTAAACAGGGTGTTTTTGATCCACACATTAGGCCAGATGCAGGTATGCAAGTACTTATCTTTCGCCAATTGAGGCCTCACCGGTTCTGGATGGCTGAGTAGATTGTCTGCCACTGGGTCTCTCCCAATGTAGAAAATGCTTCTCGAGTGCTGCTGCTTGCCTGCATCACCATGCACCATAAGCTGATCAGGCCTGAAGGGCTCAGGCTCTTGCTCTGTCAGGTCTGGCTAGTCCTCGCTGCTTCCAAACTGTATCTCCCTCCCCTGCCACTCAGTCCAATTTCTCAACTTTGCCTTTGATGTTCAGGGCCCCTAGATTGTCATGTATAATCAATTCACTTGTTTTTTTTGGGTCTTTGTTGTAAGAGGGACCACCGTAAGCATCTGACTACTCCGCCATCTTGGCCCTGCATCCTATATACATATATTTTTAACAATATATAGAAGCAGCAGTCAAGAAATCAAATGACATAATGCTTTGGGCAAATCTGCTCCAAAAGACCTCTTTAAATTAGTTTTAAAAAACACAGATGTCACTTTGAGGACTAAGGTGCACCTGACCCAAGCCATGATATTTTCATTCATCTCATATCCATGCGAAAGCTGGATGATGAATAAGGGAGACTAAAGAAGAATTGATGCCTTTAAATTATAGTGTTGATGAAGAATATTGACTATAACATGGACTGGCAAAAGAATGAACAAATCTGTCTTGGAAGATGTACAGCCAGAATGTTCCTTAGAAGGAATGATGGCGAGAATTCGTTGTAAGTACTTTGGACATGTTATCAGGAGAGACTGGTCCCTGGAGAAGGACATCATGCTTGGTAAAGCAGAGGATTTAAGAAAAAAAGAGGACCCTCAATGAGATGGATTGGCACAGGGGCTGCAATAATGGCCTCAAACATAGCAGGACCAGGTAGTGTTTACTTCTGTTGTACACAGGGTTGCTGTAAGTCAGAACAGACTCGACAGCATCTAACAAACAACAGTAACAAAAATTATATGTCTACTAGTCTTAAATTGGATGCTAGACATTTTGAATTTTACTTTGTTGAATGTTTGATATTTTGTTTCCCTATAAGTCTTGATTATTCCCTGATGTAGTTAAATTACTTGGAAACAACTTGATTGTTTCAGGCTTTATTTTTTCAGATTTATTAGGTGTCAACAGAGAGCATTTAGCTTAGGACTAATTATTAACCATTACTGAGACAAGAACTGCTTGATTACTGTGGGAAATGTCCCATGAATTATGGGATTTTCCCCTCTTACTACTGGGAATAGGCATTATTCTTGGCTGTTTGTGAGAACAAGTTCCTGTTGCCTCATCCTCTATGATGATTTCTCAAGAGGACTATTGAAGGTCCCTCAGATTCTACCTGTTCATAGATTTCTCGTCTTTTTACTATGCCCTACAAACTATAGCCTACTGGTTCTCTGAGGCTTCTTAGCTCTCTTCAGCTCAGGAGGTCTGCTAGGCTCTGCTCTGGGACCTGAAAACTCTCTCAGGACAGTAACATCACCTTGTTTGTTCACAAGAATCTTTATTTCTCCCAAATGTCTCTAAGGTTTTGTCATTCTTATTAATTCTTTTGTTGCATGCTTCTCTCTACTTAGGTTTTTTAGGGTTTATTTTTTGAGGAAGGAGCTTGCAAACTTTCAAAACTTTTCCCCAGTCGTAAGTTAGAAATGGTTAAACCATTGCGAACTGTATTATGATATGGATTTGAAGCAGGCTAGGTCTGCAAAGATTCTAAACCAAAGAACTAAACCTGTTGCCTTCGAGTCAATTTTGACTCATAGTGACCCTATAGGACAGATTAGGACTGCCCCCATAGGGTTTCCAGTGAGGGGCTGGTGGATTCAAACTGCCAACTTTTTAGTTAGCAGCCTGAGCTCTTAACCACTTCACCTCCAGGGCCCCCAAAAATATAGAATGCCTCACAGATTTGTATGTCATCCTTTAGCAAGGCCATTCTAATCTTCTCTGCGTCTTTCCAATTTTAATACATGTGCTGCTGAAGTGAGCACACAGAGATTCTAGGCAATCTCTCTCTCATGTCTATTGATTGTTTCCTACTCTGTGGTTACTAACAGAAGTTATAAAAGTGTAATTAAAAGATAAATATGGAATTCAAGCCAATTAAGCTGTTATTTAACATTTTAGAACCAAAAAATAGTATAAGCCTTGAATAAGTAATGAAAACGTGGAGAAAATGTCCCCTTGTTTTCTTCTCCCAAAACACTTATGCCTAAAGCTGGCCTGTGCATTTAAAAGGAAATATTTTTTCAGACTCAAATACAAATCAAAAATATGTGTTACAGCATAGTTCAACAAAATAATCCTGTATTTAAATCCTTTTACCAACACAACTGTCTGTCTAGAGAAATGTGACTCATGGAGACAATTGAAAGTACTTACAAAACTGAAACATATGAAGAAGATAATTAGGGTATCCATATGCAGAAAGAATGAGATTTCATCTTTTTCCTGAAGGGCAATTTCCCAGAATTTGAAAGAATCTTGAGACTAAGTGCTAACAATGTGTATAGGATCATTATGTGAGAGGTTGGATTTTAGAGCTCTTCTCTGAAATTTCTTAGCAAATTTGAAAAAGTAATAAGTTGTCTTGTGAGGTACTAAAACAATTCATCTCCTTGACTACAGCTGCTTATAAAATTGCTGCAATTGGTACCTTTGAATATCAGACTATTTTCTTTAATTTCTGTGAAAGAGAAAATAATATTTTTCCATAAATGGCCATGTGGAAATCATGTGTTTCCTTTAAAATAATAAAGTAGTAATATTTTCTATGTAGTTAATTATAAAGTTCTTACAAATCACCATTAATACATTTGACATCAGAATAAAAAACTTTATAGTTATGTAAAAATAGAAAAGGTGAATAGACTGATAGGGTATCCTGAGGAAAGGCAAAATTAGTGCGTTTGCATTGCCTTGTCTTGGCATCCATAGCTCAAAGCACAATCTATATCGACACAATGATGACGTTGATTTTCAACTTAGTGATCAAGTGATCTCCTCTTGGTGTTGAAAACTACTTTGTCACTTTTATATTTCCAGTATCTAGTATAGTTGGACAGATGGCAAAATCTCATAAACTATTTTCTAAAATGTGTTTGGCACCTAATATTAAGGGAAAAGGCTGTCATTGACACATTGGAGCCGTTACCAGGGACAGAGCTCATAATTTATTATTTTTTTAGAATAAAGCCTGATTTAGCAAAAAATAGTCTTGTATATTTCAAAAACAAAATTATTCATGATTTTTTTAAGAATCCAAAAGTTGCTAAACCTAACCACTTAAAAATAGACTTTCATATTTAAATTCCTTAAAAGTTTAAGTTCATCAGCTTGTTAAAGCATATACAAGTTTAATGATCTTTTTTCAAAGTATAGAACATACATTTTTAGATGATTTATTCAGTCACAGACTGATAGCACTTTAAGATTAGTGACTATAGCCACATGTATTTCATAATTCAATAATTTTCTAATCTTGTTAAAAGTATCATTTTAGAAACCATTTCATTTCATTCAGGGAATACTTCATTTTTCTTCATCATCTAAAGTATATGTCATTTTCGTACTCATTTAAAAATACTTCGAATTCATTTTCAGAAATCCTACATACTCATGTCTGCCATCTGCCATTGTTTAATAAACTTGCAATTGCTTTAAAGAATCCCATCCACCAAATCAAATTGATTAGTCATGTGGTTTATTTGTAATACTCACAAAATAACCAGAATGACTATCACAATAACACCAATATTTTTGGCAAATTTTTGTGTTAAGCAAAGTAAATTTATATGTCCTTTTTTCTGCAATAAAACCGCTCTATTTTAAGGATGCATTTCTTCTTTTTTGGTTCATCTCAGTTTAATTCTATGCCAAATGGCAAATAAGCTTTTTAAAACTAGGATTTTTTCTCTAGCAAACTATATGCTTACTTTGCTAAACTTGTCTTCACCTATAAAATAAATTTTAGGGAAACAGAAACATTTTTTTTTTTGTCTAAAGGTAAAAATAAATAAAGCCAATAATGATGACAAACAGACTGATTAATCCTATCCAAACACACTGCCCAAACTTGTTCAAGTAAGATTATTTTATTATCAAGTCCACAGCCTAATAGAAATGACAATGTTTAGAAAATGAATTATATCCATTAAAAAAAAAAAAAAAGGCAACAAGTCTGTTACCATTGAGTTAATTTTGATTCATGGCAACCCCATGTATTACAGAGTAGGATTAAACTACATTGAGTTTTCTTTGCTATAATCTTTGTGAAAGCAGATCTCCAGGACTTTCTTCTGAGATACTGCTGTGGGAGTTCTAACCGCAAACCTTTCAGTTGGTTACTGAGAGTAAACCATTTACGTCACATAGGGGCCTTAATATTCATATAAAGATGGAAAAATATTGAATATTTTTGTATTTTTATTCCCCTTTCTGTAGAGATTCTCTTCAGATATTTCTATCAGTAAATAATATTTGCAAAATGATGGAACTTCAAAGAAACTGTCCTTTCCCATTGGAACACATTATATAATATATCTTCATAGTGGTCTAGCATTTGTAGCATCATGGAAAGTTGCTTCCTGGAAAGGACTCCTGTTCATGCAAACATCCATTAATAATCAGAACTCATGTTGTGATATAAGTATTAGTGAGTAATATTGTAATTACTGAAATAAAATTAGAATAATTTCTTGGATTATTATAAATTGATGTTCTTTGCTAAAATACCAAGTGTTAGTAACTCTTAGTTGTGTAATACCCTAAAAATGTCCATATTTATATCAAGACATTTGAGATACTTGAAAGTTATAAAAAATAGAATAAAATTTAAGATAAGTAATTTTATTTTAAAATATAACGTAATAGAAGATACATTAGAAGGGCGATGGCATGAATTCTAATCAAGCACAACACAATGATGTATGACTTTAAGTGATTGAATAAGTATTCCATAATCATAAGATGTTTTTTCAGTTTGTCCTATGTATGTGCTTGTGTGTTGCTGTGATGTTGGAACCTATGCCACCGGTATTCAAGTACCAGCGGGTCACCCATGATGGACAGGTTTCAGCTGAGCTTCCAGACTAAGACAGACTAGGAAGAAGGATCTGGTGGTCTACATCTGACAAAATTAGCAAGTGAAAACCTTATGAATAGCAGCAGAACACTGTCTGATATAGTGCTGGAAGATGAGCTCCTCAGGTTGGAAGACACTCAAAATACAACTAGGTGCAAGCTGCCTCCCTAAAGTAGAGTTGACCTTAATGATGTGGGTTGTATCAAGCTTTCTAAACCTTCATTTGCTGAAGCAGTACAATTCAAAATGTGAAGAAACAGCTGCAAACATCCATTAATAATCAGAATGTGGAATGTATGAAATATGAATCTAGGAAAATTAGAAATTGTCAAAAATGAAACGGAAGACATAAACATATCCTAGGCATCAGTGAGCTGAAATGGACTGGTGTTGGCCATTTTGAATCAGACAATCATATGGTCATCTACGTTGGGAATAACAAGTTGAAGAGGAATGGTGTTGCACTCATTGTCAAAAAAACATTTAAAGATCTATCTTGAAGTACAACACTGTCAGTGATAGCATAATATCCACACACCTACAAGGAAGACCTGTTAATACGACTATTACTCAAATTTACGCACTAACTACTAAGGCCAAAGATGAGGAAATAGAAGATTTTTACCAACTTCAACAGTCTGAAATTGACTGAACATGCAATCAGGATGCATTGATAATTACTGGTGATTAGAATGCGAAGTTGGAAACAAAGAAGAAGGATCAGTAGTTGGAAAATATAGCCTTGGTGACAGAAATTATGCCAGAGATTCCATGATAGAATTTTGCAAGACCAATGATTTCTTCATTGCTAATACCTTTTTTCAGCAGCATAAATGGTGACTATACACGTGCACCTTGCTGGATGGAATGTGCAGGGATCAAATTGACTACAGCTGTGGAAAGAGATGATGGAAAAGCTCAGTATCATCAGCTAGAACAAGGCCAGGAGCCTACTGTGGAACAGTCCATCAATTGATCATAAGCAAGTTCAACCTGAAGCTGAAGAAAATTAGAACAAGTTCACGAGAGCCAAAATACAACCTTGAGTATATCCCACCTGAATTTAGAGACCATCTCAAGAACAGATTTGACACACTGAACGCTAATGACTGAAGACCACACAAGTTGTGGAATGACATCAAGGACTTCATACATGAAGAAAGCAAGAGGTCATTAAAAGGACAGGGATGAAAGAAAGGACCAAAATGGATGTCAGAAGAGACTCTTTGAAAGTTGCTCTCCAATGTAGAGCAGCTAAAGTGAAAGGAAGAAATGATGAAGTAAAAGAGATGAACAGATTTCAAAGGGCGATTCAAGAAGACAAAGTAACGTGCTATGACAAGTCTACCTTGGAAGAAGTACAGCCAGAATGCTCCTTAGAAGTGAGGATGATGAGGCTTCGTCTCATATGCTTTAGACATGCTATCAGGAGGGCTCAGTCCCTGGAGAAGAACATCATGCTTGGTAAAGCACAGGGTCAGCGAAAAAGAGGAAGACTCTCAACGAGATGGATTGACACAGTGGCTGCAACAATGGGCTCAAGTATAGCAATGATTGTGAGGATGGCACAGGACAAGGCAGTGCTTCGTTCTGTTGTACATAGGGTCATTATGTGTCAGAACCGACTCGACGGAACCTAATAACAACAACAATCATAATATTTACACGGTACTAAATTGGAAGTGATAACTGATATCCTAAAATGTATTACATATATGTTATCAGAGTGAGATGGGAGGTAAACCAAAATGTGAATTTATAAAACGAGTTGGTAGGAACAAATTAGATGACTCTTTAAAAATCTCATTCAATTTACATTTTGTGGGAGAAAAAATTACTGAAAATATTATTTGGAAAACATTGCTGCTCTGTTGTGAGTCCTAACACTCACAAGGAGAGTGTGTTTTC